TCTCAGTGGCTCGCTGACCTGCCAGCCATGCGTGTGGATCCAGCTATATTTAAGCAATCTTGACAAACTCGGCGAACCACGGGTGACCGCGACCCACAGTCTGAAAACCATGCCTTCAGGCGAATGACATTTTCATTGCTGTTTTCTACGTGGTATAAACTGAACTAAGTCCACGCTGTGCGACATTTCCTGGTTATCTACGCCCAAACGGCGGAGGGAGGGGGGGATTCCGTGTTCATGGACCTCGAACACTCATCACCGCGATCACAAAAGCCCGACATTTTAAACCAAGGGGATCTGAGGTTCTGCCGGCTGTTACGAACACACACCGCGTTATTTGGTATGAGATGACCAACGCTTCGAAAGAACGTCCTACTGCCATGCATGTAGGATTTGAGGTTCTCACAGCGATATAACTCCATGTGGTCCACTGAAAGTCACCTGACGTTTCGGAGGAACATGTCGCCTCCATCTTCAGGGCAGAAGAATATGTCAAGCTGCTTGCCACCTGCTTTCACGTTATTTTTTTTGTTTGGCTTATTCTTCGGCCCTGAAGATGGAGGCGACATGTTCCTCCGAAACGTCAGGTGACTTTCAACGGATCACATGGGGTTATATCCCAAGAGGCTGAACTCTTCATAAGTCATGCATGTTTTTATGGATGCTTGCTAGGCGTACCCTTCGACCTTGAAGATGGAAACAGTACTGAAATGACAGCAAACTTCTACTGGACTACACCGCGGGGGTAACATCTCAGAAGGCAGAAGAATGATTGGCAATCCTTGCAGCATGAATATAACCACATACTGACTGTCTACTGGCCAATATGTGGATCAGGTGCAGCCACATCAGACTCAGGTGACAATGTGTCTCAGATGCACCTGGTTCAAATCTGATGGGTCTACAACTAGCAGTTTCTTTCTCCATTTTCCTCAGTACCTCCAGACCCATACCTTTGCAATATTAATGCCCTCCAAATTCCATCTTGTAGTTCTATGTAACCTATACATCTGATCCATTATCATTAAATAACCAATTAATGTAGCAACACAAAAGTGTCTTTGTTTGCCAACTGTTTGGACATTTTCTTGTTCTTTGATAAACTGGATATGCAATCTTATCAGTGGCATGACTAAACTCATTTGTTTTCCTGTTCTACTTGAAGTGGAATAAGCATTCATAATAAACAATTGCTACAACAATGTGTGCAGTGTTGCCAGTTTGCCCACTTGCTTTACTGTTACGATGACACTGCTGTCACATCATTTTTGGGATGACAGACTTTGCAAACATGTCATGTCAGTCATTCCTTCTTGCAAACAAAAATGTAGCTGCCATGCTAATTGTACACAAAAGTCATGGGCCAGTTCTATTCAGCTGTTAAAGCAACTGGGACACTTGTGTTTGTCTGTTAAAAGCCCATCCTTCTCTTTGTTCCGGTACTCCATTAACTTGGACAGTCGCTAAGTGTGGCCATCAGGAACCCATCTGTGTGATCCTAGCTCCTACTCTGCCAGTGAGACAGTCATATGAATTTCCTTGGCATCTGTGATTCTGGATTCTTCTGACGGCATTATCCACATACTGCATGGAGCAGGTTTGTGCAGTTATAATGCCCTAAAACTTGTATTCTGGCTTGGCTACTGGCTGTTGTGAGGTACTCATGGATTTACCAAGTACCTTCAGGCAAATGTTGGAGTAAGACCTTAAAATAAGCCAACGCTGCCTCCTTTCTACATTGCATCTACACAACACAGACTCAGATTTCCATTTTATTCAATCCTATATGGAATGTGATGTGGAAACAGTGTCATTAAATAAGCAAAGAATAAATATCATACACATCATATATTTATATATGATAATCAGAAAATATATTCTCAATCCTGTGTTTCAGCCTTTGCTGAATACAAAGAAACATTACCAGGATTGCAAAGATCATGAGAATCTGACTCTGTATGGAAGTACAAACTTGCTAGGACAGAAACAGAACACCACGTCTGGAATGTCTGAGTTGAGATGCAAAGATTGCTGTGAACCTTCTGCCAACATACAGTGATGACATGTGGACACAGCCTGATAGTACTATCAGCAGATAAAGCACTGGTATTGTCACATACCACATCCAATATTATACTTGACCTATGAGCTTGATACAGCCAAGCTGCATGACCAAGGTTCAGCTCCCAGAACAGGGGTCAGCACCATGTCCAGGCCTCTGAGGCAGACACGAAGCTGACTGAAGTGTGAAGCTCACCACTCATGAATACCTGGCTCCTTCTGTGGGCTGTTTAATGATGTCGACAGTAGCTAGACTACACAGCATCGAAGGCTACGATGACTGATGAACTGGAAACGATTTGCAAGAATTAGTTGTCCAACTGAGATACTATCCCAGCATCTGCCTGGAGAGACTGAGGAATTTGGCGGTAATAAATGTCAGGTGCCATGGAATACATGTGGACTTCAGAGACAGGAAGTGAAAAGTGGATGGAGAAAACTGCTCAGTGAGCAGCTTCGTCACATATTGTTGGGAGCTGCGATAGCGTAGTCAGTATAGTGACTGGCTACTAGATGGAAGACTGAGGGGTCGGAGTTCGAGTGCCGGTGAGAGCAAAAATTTTCTCTTTTCCAAGTCTTCCAGACTGGCTCTGGGGTTCACCCAACCTCCTTCCCTGGGGGTAAAGCTGCAGGGGTGTGAAGCTGACTACTCACCTCCAACTAGTGCTGAGGTTAAGAAAATGTGGATCTATACATCCACTCCCCCTACGCCTTCATGGCATAGTGTTTAATTAGTTAAGCACAGGTACAATTTTACCTTTATCACATATTATTAGGATGAGTAAATGTAGGAGGATGAGATGTGCAGGGCATGTAGCACACAAGGGAGTTATGAGAAATGCATACAAATACCAACAGGGAAGGGTTACCTGGAAAGATGTACGTGTAACTGGGAAAAACAGGATGTGAAAGTGTGTACTGGATTCATCTCACTCAGCACAGGGTTCCAGGGTTCCACTCTTGTGAAAATGGCAATGAACCTTCGCATTTCTTTGAGTTCTTGAGCAGCTACTAGCACTTTCAGAAGGCATCCTCCAGGGAATCAGGCGGTTAGTGAGATCATGTTCTGAAACCATCATATGTGTTTAGGGCTTGGGCGCAGGAACTTTGCCATTTGACAACTGTCTTGTGCAGTGTGACAGTGTAAGCTCAGTAGGTACGTACAAACATTTCAGAGAAGATGAAGACGGAGGCACTGCGCTGTGTCACATTCAGAACACAGTAATCTGCAATGAGAACCACAAATCTTGCATAATATCCAATGTGGTCCAGTTCTTGCCCCACACCTTGAGGTGCAAATGGTGTCGGTACACAACCAGCTCACAAAGGCAAGCCATCCATACCATGTAGATATGGGGCAAGTATTCTCAATCTTGCCAGACTGGTTAGTTTTGGGGGCTGGCAGTATTTAACCCATTACCCACTGAACAGACCCCAGAGAACAGAGATATCCTGTCACTGGTATCCCATCGCTTTTCTGTAAGGACCCTCTATCAGCTGAACATGACATGGGATCTACTTGCAAGTCACAAGGATCTGGTATGAGGATCAAACTGTGTATTTCGCAGCCAATGGGACTACTGGACTTAGTTTCCTGTTAAACAGGAATCATGGCTCCTATCTGCAGGATGTGAAAAACCGCTGATAGTAACCTAACGAGGCTCATGAACGTTTGACGAGTTCTCGTTAATGCATTCTCTAAACCTATGCCATTTCAACTTACGAAAGCATAAGAATGGGGACATTTCTAGCCATCCGTTTCATCTTCCAAACATGGTAACAGGAGAAGGTTATCATTTTCTGGATATGATCTCATACAGTATGGTAGACTTACCAGTACTTTGAACAAACCTGCCATCTCCATCTTCAAGTTAGAACAGTAAACCACGTGTGCAGAAGAGTGGTACAAACAAGAGATGAGGGACTGGGCCATATGGAGCACAGTGTAAGTAATATTTAGCTCTTAAATGGGCTGTTTCCTGATGGGTCGCTGTTTCTTTAGTCTCTTTATCCTGACTTTCATTCACCTACTTCTAGTGCACTCAGTGATCACCTGTCCCAATCACTCACTCCTCAGAAACTGACCTCCAACCCCCAGCCAATACTCTTGTTTACTCAAGGCACTGGTTCTGCGCTTGCCACTCCATATACCTCTCACTTCTTCCCACACTTGGCTTGGTCCTTTACCCTGAAGAAGACAACAAGATCCTCTGAAACAGTAACTATCTACCAGACAACATGGCATCATATCCCACAAGACAGTAATTTCTAGTCACCACCACCAGATGGACAGGATGGTGTGATAATTCAAGAGCACACTCACAAAACAGTAACCACTGTTCTCACATTAGTACAATCCAACTGCAATAGAACCTGGTTATGATTCCTCAAGCATAAAGTTGTGCTGGAATGCAGAAGATTATGATAAAGCAACTGGAAATATAAAAAGGGAGAAAATGCAAGAAACAGAATTCATATGTTACGATTATCAGAGAACACAGGAGCTGCACAAACTGTAATGTGGCACTATGCAGCCCAATAGTAGTTCAGTGACATTTTGGAGGGACATATTGCCTCCATTTTCATGGTTGACAAATAATCCAAGCAAGCACAGCTCTGGTTGCTAAGGTGAAAGTAAGCACTATGATCCCTCACACTGTCACATCCCAAAGAGCAGCAGCACTCACTGAGCTATGGCAGGTTTGACAAGGGAGATTTTGAAAGAAATTCTTGCAAGGATGTTGATTTGTCCCTTCCTGCCTAAGAAGCCGGGGATGTTTCAGGCAGAAGAGAAATCAAATTGCTGTTCTTACGGAGAAGTATGCATTTTTAGTTTTGCATTGTTATAAAAAATATAGACACTTTGGTTACAGTAATACAATCACAATTTATGACATGGTGCATTGTCAATGATTGTCTCAGATCTACTAACAGTTGCATAAACAGAGACTGCATTTAATGAGGTCTGATAGGAACATGCCTCATAGCTAGGCTACATGTTGGTGGTGACGTGCACTAAATAAACATTGAACAGATATAGAAAAGACTCGAGTAAACATTTTACGTCATAGATGTGCCCCTCATATACCCAACATTTCCAAACCCACACACATCTCCTACATTATGGACATGACAGATCATGTACTAAGCGACTGCTTCACTGTGATCAATATTTGCCTTGCCTCTCATAGGCTCACTCAGAGCAGCAAACAGAAGCTAGACTCATCCTGCCTCATCCCCTACTGAGCACTGCCCCAGTAACTGCTTGTCACTATCTCATACAAGAACAAAACCCAAAGTGACCTCATCGGCAACAAACGGAACTCCAATTACACAAACTGTTTCTCCATAAAACATGTAACTGTGCCACTTTCTTTTCTATGGTGTCCACAGTGTCAGGCCACGTCATTCCTGCAGGTGAATGTAAAAGAATTAAACTGTTTGTAATATTAATTACTGTCTCACAAATGGATAAGAATCCCCCACCCCCCCAAAAAATATATATGAGGTTTGACCTGAAATTCCACTTCCTTCCCTCCTTGATATTCCCTTCTGCAAAACTACAGACTGGCATAAAACCACTGCTGAACTGGATACACATGACAGTGAACACATGCCACAGGATGTGCAGAAACTTGGATCACACAGACAAGGCACAAACTAATGATCTGAATTCAGTATGGCAACACTGCTTACACTCTACAACCGCTACTCTTCTCAATGAACAGGGAGAGGAAGGGGGAATCTACCCGAAAATAAGAAACAGAATGTGGGACTTGGGCTTCTGACTGTTGCTGGTACACTAAATTGCCTATCGCTGCCACTTTTTATTTCTAAGCTTAAACTGAAAGACAGGCTGCACATGTTCTGTGCACAAACATGGGCACAATTATGAGATTCAAGAACTTTCTGAGAATCACGACTTACTGACACACACACACACAATCACTTGAGTGGTAAGGAAAAGTTCTGCCAACTGCTGATATGAATTGCAATTATGATTATAAATCCAGATCTGCCATATAAAACAAACAAATGAGAATCAATGTTGGAATGAAGCGGAGTATTGCTGACGTCGAGCCCACAGAAGTAGGGACAGCATCATAGCGGTGGTGGGCATCCGGTACAAGATCAGCAGGCTGGCAAAACTGAAGCAATCCTGCAAACAGAGAGTAATGAACCCTGTAAAGCAAAACTTACTTTGAAGGCAGCACCCAAAGGCTCATAATTGTAAGCACAAAAGACCATCACTGGCCCCTAACCTGAGCTAGCGTACAAACCAAAAATCTGCATTATATAAATACTATATTATGGGTGTGAAGCTAATGTAACCCTGGAAAACAATATACAGAATGTTCCACTCAAACCTCCCACATTTTATCAGATCTTAGAGCAGAAAACATGAATGGTAGGAAAATGAAGCTATAAGAAATATAAGAACTAGAAAAATTTTATTTGATACACTAATAAACCTCTACATGTGCACCATTGGTAGCACAAATAATATCCAATCTCTGAGCGAGAGGTCAACTTCAAAGTCATGAAATAAAATTCTTTGAGTTTTTCTTTCTTCTAGTGTTAATTATAATCCATATTTATCACAATTTGTTTGCAATGATTAAGTAAAATGTGGGAGGTTTCAATGGAACACACTACATATTAGGAAACCCAGTGATGGACACCAGATGAGTGAAGACTGTGCATCTGTTATAAATGGTTCCAGGTACTGGGAGGATGAAACAGCCAAGGCGTAAGTAAGTAAATATAACATTATGAACACAGACCTTGTCGCACTGGAAGTATGTGCAATGAGAGTAGACTTCATACAAGTTCAGTGTGTGAATACTGATCTATACTTGAAAACTGCATCTGATTTGCTAATGGACTTTAAGTCACCTCATGACAGGAAAGTCCTCACAGTGGCCTTGATGAGCTGTCGACACACAGGGCAGTCATTCAGGCTGGGTGCACAGTTCACGCAGGTCACCAGGTGCCCACATGGCAAGAACACTACACCCACTTCCTCATCCATACAGATCTTGCACAGTCGAGCCTCCTTAAGCCGCCGAACTTCCTCCTCAAGAGATGGCGATGCACCACCAACTGCTGATTGGGCAATAACACATTATGACAGATATAGATAAGTTGCAGAGGGCAATGAAAACAGATTCGCTTTGTGATTACGACTTGACTCACCCTTGGCTTTGTTGCTGCTTTCGCCTGCAGAGGGCAGGTGTGGCATGCTCTTGGTGTTGGCTTGCTCTGGGAGTGGCTCCCCTCCATCCAGCTGCACCTGCTGCTGGTCTGATAGGGTGGGCATCGAACGAGACGTGTATAATGAGGAACTACTGCACACAAAGTCACATGTCAGAAGACAACAACAGTCAAGAGTTCCACTTGCAAGCAGCTCTAATGGTGAGTGCTCACCTCTGTGGCGTGGCCTGCCCCTCTCCTTCGATTTCTGTATCGGCGTTCATGACAATGTTGTCTGTGCTGTGCACATCTGAGGGACTTCCCACCCTACTGCTTCTGCTGCTGCTGCTGCTGCTTGCTGTGTCAGCTGCTTCTTCATTCAATTGGATCTGCAGTGCAGCCTCAATAAGTGCGTCGGGTGTTGTGAACGGCAAGCCAGTCTGCTCCAGTTTACGACGCAGAGCCAGCTTGATCCATGATACATCTAATCCCACATGTAAGGCTGCCTGGGGGCAAAAATAAGTGGTCCAGTGTTCAGATCCCATTAACTCAATGAGTGCAACAGCTGAATGGCAACATGCCAACTTCGTATTCAGGAGGTTATAGGTTCAATTCTCTGTGTGGATACTGGATAATATTTTGAGGTGCTCTGTGCCAGGGGGAAAAACAAAAACAAAAAAACTCCGTGGTTTTAGTCCGCAAGCGAACTATACTAACTGAGCGACCGCCGCTTGTCGGCGAACTTAGTGCCAACTTCAGCAGATAGACAATGTTGTGTGGGCAGCGCAACAAATCCCCACAGCCGTTAATTTCGGTTTTCTAGACTGGAGCCACTATTTCCTTGAAAGAGCTCCTCAATTATCATCATGAGGCTGAGTGGTCCCCGTTCCTGACCCACTACTTCTCAGAAAAAAAATTTGGTAGAGCCGGAAATCGAAGCCAGACCTCTGGATATGTAGCCAGGAACTCTGACCACTTGACCACAGCGGGGGCTTCTGTGCTGCAATATGGGCTTCCTTCAAACCAATATAATGCTCAGTACTACATAGCCTACGCAGTTCAGAAAGCAGCATTAACTCCTTCCTATGTAAAAAGGAAGCCTTCCACCACCAGATTTACAAATTTACTATCACATTATGATCATGCACTGAATTTTATATCTTTCCTCTTCGCATTCTGTGACATCTCCGTTACCAGAACAAGAGATGGCAGGATTTGTACACATTCTCACTTTCCCATATACACATAAAATATGAGGGTTACTGTGATTACAAAAGAAACTGATATAAAGATTTTGATGGATTTACACATTTTCAGCCTCCCTGAATGTGAGAAAGTGGTTTGGAATGCTGTCTGTGTACGTGGATGTGCGCACTGCTAGGGCCTGAGTGGCCGCACACATTCCATTCACATTCTGTGACTGAGTGTCTATCCACCATATGAACATCACAGCTCCAAAAATAGGGGCCCTTCAGATGGGGCCCAAAGAACAAACTGATAATTTTCTCAAAAACGACTCTGACAATTCTGATTTATTTTTAGTAATATGTGAAGGCCATTTCCCTAAATAAAACTTCACTGGTGGTATCTTCAGAAAAATAAAGCATCACATGTGTGTTTAACTTATGCAAATTAAATTCTATGTGCTCCCCACCAGGAAATGATGTACAACGCAGTGAGCATGAAGCCTGGAGCAAGTGTAAACCTTGACTCTGTCCCCACTCTGTTCCATGTCTCACAGTGTCTACATCGCACTGCACTGAGTGTCATCCTAGTGTGTAAGTATGTCCATCAATCATAACAATTTTATACTTTTAATAAATAACTTATTTTAGACAAGTATTTCAATATATTTAAACACTGTAATTCTATGTAAGAACTATTACATGACAAGACTACTATCAATGGATCCAGTAATGAACATGTATGCATGTCGTTGCTTCCTCCTGATGATGGTCATTAATGACCAAAACGCATAGCAAAATAACATCTTAATAAAAGTAATTGATTTACCAACAATTTGGGCCTATCAGTTAATTACTAAAGGTATAAAATTGTTGTGATTAATGGACATATTTGCATAGCAGGGACATACACAAAAGGATGCAAAACCTACAAATGAAGGTGATCTTAATGGGTTTAAATATAGGTACTTTGTCCTACGTGGGGCAATCCAGAAGTTTCCGAAATTTGAATTTTGTGCACGAATGGTTACGAGTACATCGAAATACTGCTAGGTGTCTCCTCACACATCCTTCTTGAATCAGTGTGGCAAGCAGTGTCGAGTTGAGTGGTTCGGTTTATTGTTGGTGAACGTATTTCCATTGTTGTTTCCGTGAGTTTGCGGTTTTGTGATGGCTGACCTGAGAGAGCAGCGTGTCTGTATAAAGTTTTGTTTCAAACTTGGGAAAACTGCTGCAGAAAGCACCAAATGTTGAAGCAAGCATTTGGTGAAAACAGTTTAGGCCAGATACAAACTTACAACTGGTATAAGCGTTTTAAAAATGGCCGAACATTGACTGATGATGACGATCGTTCGGGATGGCTGTCAATGCGCAAAACACCAGAAAATGTCGCGAAAGTTACGGATCTGATTCTGCAAGATCGTAGACTGACCATCCAAGACCTCTGTAACACCTTGCGACTAAGTTATGGTACATATCAACGAATTTTGTCAGAGGAACTGAACATGAGGAGGATTGCGACGAAGTTTGTGCCACGACTGCTGCAAAATGAACAGAAGCAGCATCGCTTGGAAGTCTGCAGGGAACTTCAGCAACAGTTTCAAGAGCATCCAAATTTTCTTTTGAAGGTTGTCAGTGGTGACGAAAGTTGGGTTTATGGCTATGACCCTGAAAGCAAGCAGCAATCATCGCAATGGAAGAGCCCTTCTTCACCTTGGCCAAAAAAAGCTAGACAAGTCACGAGCAACATTAAATCCACGTTGATCTGTTTTTTGATACTGATGGGATTGTTCATAAGGAGTTCATTCCTCCTGGTCAAAAAAGAGTTCTATCGTGATGTTCTATGGTGTTTGAGGGAGTACATGAGGCGAAAACGTCCAGAGAAGTGGTGCACGAACGACTGGGTACTCCACCATGACAACGCACAACAGTATACGTCTTACATTGTGCAGGAATTTTTAGCTAAAAACAAGATGGCAGTTGTTCCCCACCCACCGTACTCGCCAGACTTAGCTCCATGCGACTTCTTTCTCTTCCCCAAGATGAAAATCAAGTTGAAGGGGCGAAGATTTGATACAGTTGAGGAAATTCAAGTGGAAACGCAGACGGTACTAAACACCCTAACAAAGAAAGACTTCCAGGATGCATTTGAAAAGTGGCAGAAATGCTGGGATCGGTGTATGTGCTCCCAAGGGGACTACTTTGAAGGTGATGGTGCAGAATAAGATCTAGGTAATATGTAATAGTTTTTATTAATATATTTTGGGAACTTTTGGATTGCACCACGTATATGGCCCCCAAATGCAAGCCAACTACTTCACCTGGTGCTCAACCAATGAAACAGTGATCTACTCTAACACTGTAGGAAATACAGGATGCACTGGTCTCAAACATGGTGTGCAAATGTGGCCACAAGGAATCCAGCATCTGTGCCAATACGATTAAAGAGAGAGAAATTCATCAAGCTGTGGCAGCGCACACTCAGGTAACTGGTAAGGAGATGAGCCAGATGAGTGGGAAGACTTTAGTTAAGACAGAAAATGCATTAAACTCATGGCTTGCACACATGAACCACAAATGTCATCTTCCATCCCTCTATTTTTTCCATAAAATTAAAAACAAATTTTCTGTACATCTTACTTGTGTCTGTACTTTTGGTTTGTCCCAAGTTATAAAGAGAATTCATTTGTAAGGGAGTTAGGTGTTCAGCTGTGGAATGTTAACCAGTGGACAACAGAAGCTGAAGAAGTGACCACTTCACAGACCAGAACCAAGTCAGTCACAGCGGAAACGAAGACATTTGTAGTCCAGTAAAGAATGGAGCAAATCTTAGACAGTCACTGATTGCGAGCTGTTGTAATTGATTGTAATAAATCCAATCATCCAATCCAGAACCCGTTCTTAATAGTCATGCAAACCCCTCAAACACGACAATATACATTGCATGACTAGGTCAAAAAAGAAATGCTGGCTTCTTACTAAAATTTGGCTGCCATCTCCTTTACAATAACCTCCTTGGGAATGGATACAGCGATCCCATCATTTTTCCCATGCTTCAGAAGCACTGTGGAAGTCATTTTTCTTAATCCTGTCGAGTACTGCTTGCGATTCACTTTGGATGTCACAAAATGTTTCCAAATGTCATCCCTTCAGTTTCATTTTCAATTTGGGAAACAAAGCGAAATCACAGGGGCTAAGTCTGGCTAAGGCTTGCGGAAGTGTGACGTTGGCCTCTCTCCTTATCTTCTTTCACTGAGGCAGTTACAACAATAAGTCAGGGAACTTTCTGATACCACCTCATATACATATTACAGGGTATATAGAAAGGCATGTACTTTATGGGCCTTTTAATGAATTTTCAAAACTAATTCTGACCATATGCAACTCTGAGGTTATGTGCCGCTGCAGAACATAACCCCTGTGTAAGATGCAAATCCATCATATGTTCACTAGGGGCACAGGTGGAGAAGGTTTTTTTTTTTTAAATTGGCTTCAGTGATTGGGCCAATTTCACTGCTGCTTGGTGTTCGGTGCAACAGGGCACTGAATAACAACTGATTCTGGATCTAAGTCACCACAATCAAAGTCAACAGCAAACGAGAAAGTGCAATGCCTTTGCACCAGTTTCTAGTGCAAAATGATCTGCAGCAAGGAAGGAGTGAGGTTTGAAATGAAAACTATAGGAATTAAAACTAAAATTCTGGACTGTATCCATCGTCCCAGTCAGTTGAATCACGACGTTTCGGAAGCTGGTTCTGCTACCGTCCTCAGGTAAGTAAAATGGAGGTAAAAAAAGGGGGGAAAAAATGGGGAAAAAATTAAAAGGTAAGGAGGGTTCTTATGTATCCTATACAGTTGGGTCCCTTAGATCAAGCTAATCTCAATCACTGGACAAACTGGCAGGGGACGAAATCAAGGGTGATCAATTCATAGTGGGAAGTTGTCAATGGGAGATAAAAAGACGAATCAAGATAAAAAATTATTGAAAGACCCAAATCGTCTGGGACAAGGAGCAAAGAAAGAATTGAAATATTCTACAGGAATATAGAGTGAAGGAGAAAAGAAGGAAAAAAG